TTGTATTTTCAAGGGTGTTTGAATCGGTAGCTAAAAAGTCCCCATAGACACGGAGGGCCAACAATATCTGTGCGATGTCCAGGGAAAGCGTCTCACAATCTCAATAACGGGGTAATCTCTCTTAATTTTCTTTTCTTTTCCAGGCTTGGATGAATGAGAAGTTTTCCCCCGAACTTCTGGAGAGCAAATCAGAAATTGTCGAATGTGTCATTGAACAGCTGGAACACATGGTAATAAAATGCCGGCAAATGATTATAGAAGAGGATTGGTTTCTGGATGCACCTAGATGACCTCCATTTATTATTATTATTATTATTATTATTATTATTATTGCTGCCACACTTTTCCTTCAGTGAGCTCAAGGCAGCAAACGTAGCTTGGAGAGCCGGTGTGATAAAGTGGTTTGAGCATTGGACTACAATTGTGGAGACCAGGGTTCAAATCCCGGCTCGGCCATGTAAATCCATTGGGGTGACCTTGGGCAAGTCACACTCTCTCAGCCTCAGAGGGTGGCAATGGCAACCTCCCTCTGAAGAAACTTGCCAAGAAAACCCTGTGACAGGTTCGCCTTAGGGTCGCTTTAGGGCTGGAAATGACTTCAAGGCACACAACACCACTATCCTATGACTTCGTGCAGTGGTTTGAGCATTGGACTATGAATCTGGAGACCAGGGTTGGATCCCCAGCTCAGCCATGAAACCTGCTGGGTGGCCTTGGGCAAGTCACACTCTCTCAGCCTCAGAGGATGGCAATGGCAAACCCTCTTTCAAGAAACCTGCCAAGAAAACCTTGTGATAGGTTGGCCTTAGGGTCGCCGTAAGTTGGAAACGACTTGCAGACACACAGCTGCAATAGACCTTATAAAATATTTTTTAAAATTTTGTGCAGTGCAGATGGTAAGAAAGTCCTTCCTGATGTAAAAATCTCTTTTGATTTGTGTCTTGGCAGGAGGAGAACCTGAAGCGGGCCAAAAAAGGCGACCTGAAGGTCAGCATTCACCGCATGGAGGTCGAGCGGATCCGTTTTGTCCTCAGCAGCTATTTGCGCTGTCGGATCCGGAAGGTACGGCTTTGTTGTTTGGGAGAGCCAAAGGCATTGCTCTCGATAGGCCAGCTGTCGGGGATGCTTTGATTGGGAGTTCCTGCATGGCAGGGAGGTTGGACTGGATGGCCCTTGTGGCCTCTTCCAATTCTATGATTCTATGATTCTATAGGAAACACATTGGAGTCACTCTGGCTGCATCCGCACTGCAGAAATCATCCAGGCTGACACCGCTTTAACTGCCGCGGCTCAATGCTATGCAATTCTGGGAACTGTAGTTTTGTGTGACATTTAGCCTCCTCTTTCAGAGAGCTTTGGTGCCACAACCAAACTACAGATTCCAGAAATCTATTGAGCCACGGCAGTTAAAGTGGTCTCAAACTGGATTATTTCTGCAGTGCAGATGCAGCCTCTGTGCCTATGTCTGCTTCCTGTGTGTTAGCCGCTTGGTTGTCTGTGATCCGAAAAAGTAACTTCTCCAAGCCCTGGGAATGGGTCCCTGCCCCAAGAGGCATATAGTATAAAACAGATGCAAGCATAGGAGAGATAGATTATTATTATTATTATTTTAGTGTATTTTAGTTTAGTAAGGCAAAGTATTCCAGCTCTTTTGTTGCTAAGCTGCTATTTATTTGTATTGTATTGTTTTTCTTTATCTTGTATTTTAATCCTGTTATAGTTTAATATATTTTTAAGGGGTGGGTGGGTTAGAGAAGGGGTTGTTTGATTGTTTTAACTTGTAATGTTGTTTTAATTTGCTGTACGCCGCCTCGACTGTGCTGCAGAGAGGCAGCATAACAATAAAAATTATTATTATTATTATTATTATTATTATTATTATTATTATTATTATTATTATTAAAGGTGGGCATCCTACAGCCCTCCAGAATTGCAAACACTCTGGATGTTATTTGGACTGCAGCTCCCAGCATTCTTCCTACAGTAATGCAGTTTGGCACCACTTTAAGTGCTGTAGCGCCACCCTTTGGAACGTTGAGATTTGTAGTTTCACAAAGTCTTTAGTATTCTCTTCTACAGAGTGCTCCCAAAACTACAAATCCCAGGACTGGGTAGGATGGATCCACGGCAACTAAATTGGTATCAGAATGGACTATTTCTACAGTGTAGATGCACCATTGGTTTTCAGTGCAGCCTTTTTTTCCCGATCTCTTGCTCTCAAAACGTTAATAATAATAATAATAATAATAATAATAATAATAATAATAATAATAATAATAATAAATTTTATTTATAGAAATACATAAATAAATTTATATAAATAAATAAATAAATTTACGTAAATAAATTTATTAATAAATAAATAAATAAATCATGTCGGTATTTCAATGCCAGTTGCATTGTCCCTTGTCGTTCTTCCACTGTTTATTTTCTCTTGAAGATTGAGAAATATTTTCCCCACGTCCTGGAAAAGGAGAAGACAAGGGCAGAGGGAGAGCCAGCCATCCTGTCTCCGGAAGAGTTTGCTTTTGCCAAAGAGTGAGTGAGCGAGCGAGCATTTACCTATTTTATTCCATTAATTTATTCCATTAATTTCTATCCTGCCTTTCTCCCTTGACGGGATCCAAGGGGGCTTACAGGAAAAAGTTAATTTATAAGTTAATAAATCTGGAAAGTACAGCAAACAAAGCATGGCTCTTCTCTCCCAATTTCGGTGTATTGATTTTTGTAGCTTTCTGCTACTTCCTAAAAGCAAGATTGGATAATAAATAATAATAAACCCGCCTCGATTGTTGGGCAGAGGGGCGGGCTATAAATAAAAATTATTATTATTATTATTATTATTATTATTATTATTATTATTATTATTATTAAATATTTTAAACCCCAGGCATACACATAACTCAGGCTGTTTCTGCATGGGCCTTTGCAGACTGCCAGAAATAGTGCAGATTGAGTCCACTTTAACTGCCCTGGCTCAGTGCTAGGGAACCATGGGAACTGTAGTTTATTTTGGCACCGGAGCTCTCTGACAGAGAAGGCTCCATGTCCCAGAAAAAAATACAATTCCCATGATTCCCTAGCACTGAGCCAGGGCAGTTAAAGTGGACTCAATTTGCACTATTTCTAGCAGTCTGCAAAGGTCCCATCTTTAACATAGGAGTGGATAACCAGCAGGGACTGCCATATTAGCAATAATAATAATAGTAATAGTAATAATAATAATAATAATAGTAATAGTAATTTGCTTGTTGTGTGCCTTCAAGTTGTTTCCATCTTATCTTGACCCTAAGGGAACCTTTCATGGAGTTTTCTTGGCAAGTTTCTTCAGAGGGGGTTTGCCACTGCCATCCTCTGAGGCTGAGAGAGTGTGACTTGCCCAGGGTCAGCCAGTGGGTTTCATGGCTGAGCTGGGAATCAAACCCTGGTCTCCAGAGTCCTAGTCCAATACTCAAACCATTATGCCACACTGTCTTAGATGTACCTATATGTCAGAGGAAGGAGTTGGCAAAACCACCTCTGAGTCTTCTTTGCCTGAGAAAACCCTATGAAATCCATGGGGGCCACCATTAGCCAGGATTCGAAACCTGGTCTCCAAAGTCATTGTCCAGTGCTCAAACCACTGCACCACGCTGGCTCTAATAATAATAATAATAATAATAATAATAATAATAGATCCAAATTCTTGGGGAAATGTCTTTATTGGACCCAACTAAAAGCTCTCCAAGGGAAACGTTGTGCTGCAACTGCAATGCCATCCCTTTCTTTGTCCTGGAAGCTATTTTACCAATTGGATGGAGAAGGCTGTGAAGCTTTGAGGACTCCCTGAAAGCAGAGATTTTCTTCCTTTCAGGTACATGGCCAACACGGAGGCCCATCTCAAGAACGTGGCTTTGAAGCACATGCCTCCGAACCTACAGAAGGTGGATCTCCTCCAAACAGGTAAGCAAGGCTTGGTTTTGTCCTGGGCCCTTTAAATGCATTGCAGAGCAACCGAAGCAAAAGTTTGGATCACTGCCCAAAGGGGCTTACAGTCTGAACAAAGATGATGGCTTGGATCCTAACTTTCCTTCCATGTGTGAAGTGAGTTCACATTGCAGTTCACATGAAATGTGGCATGGCTGTCGGCTGAGGATGATGGGTGTTGTAGTCAGAGACATTATTGAGGGCACCAGATCGAGGAGGCAGACTGAAAGCACAGTGATGGCTGGATCTGTGAGTTAGGTCCAAAACCCATTGCAGAAATAATCCAATTTGAGACCCTTTTAACTGCCCTGGCTCAGTGCTAGGGAATCCTGGGAATTGTCGTTTATTGTGGTACCAGAGCTCTCTGACAAAGAAGGCTAAATATCTCACAGAATTACAGGTCCCTGAATTGCCTAGCATTGAGCCAGGGCAGTTAAAGGGGTCTCAAACTGGATTATTTCTGCAGTGGGTTTTGGACCGCAATGAATCTGAGCTGGATTTTAGTGTGAACTTGACAAGAGCTATGCAAGATGCTGGTCCTCTTTTGAGGAATAGAGTTTGCATGCTTGCATCCCATAAGACCTCTGTTCTGATTGATCGGTTAAACTCATGTATGAGCATTTAAAGTGTTCCCGGTTTAATAGGGTTAGTGTTCATTTT